TGACTAAATGCATATACTTCAGGGGCATGATATCAGCTCTTTGGTCATGATAGGGATTAATTACATTCACTAGCATCCTGTAGGTCCAGCTCCAGTCTCATTAGTCAGTCCTACTACTCGTCTCAGTGAGTGTGGTAACGTTACTGCCTTCCCTCATATAATGTGGTGTGTTCTTCCTCCTACAGGGTCCGGCCGGTTCGAGGGGTCTCGGTGGGATCAGAGGACCCAAAGGCAGGAGGGTAAGGAACAGGATTTACTCCTTCAGCATCATTTACATTTACATTTAAGTCATTTAGCAGACGCTCTTATCCAGAGTGACTTACAAATTGGCGCATTCAACTCAGGATAGCCAGTGGGACAACCACATCTTGATCACAGTAAGTACACTTCTTCAAACAAGCAGCTGTGAGCAAAGTCAGTGCAATCAGGGACAAATACATCTCGATCACAATAAGTACATTTCTTTAAACAAGTCAGTGCTAGCAGGTGAAATAAGTCAGGTGTTAGTTTAGACAAAATACAGTGGTAGTAAAGGGGGGGTAGAAGGATTACTATTCCAGGTATTCCTTAAAGAGGTAGGGTTTCAAGTGTCTCCGGAAGGTGGTCAGTGACTCCGCTGTCCTGGCGTCGTGGGGGAGCTTGTTCCACCATTGGGGTGCCAGAGCAGCGAATAGCTTTGATTGGGCTGAGCGGGAACTGTGCTTCCGTAGCGGTAGGGGGGCTAGCAGGCCAGAGGTGGATGAACGTAGTGCCCTCGTTTGGGTGTAGGGTCTGATCAGAGCCTGAAGTTAAGGAGGTCCCGTTCCCCTCACAGCTCCGTAGGCAAGCACCATGGTTTTGTAGTAGATGCGAGCTTCAACTGGAAGCCAGTGGAGTGTGTGGAGGAGCGGGGTGACGTGAGAGAACTTGGGAAGGTTGAACACCAGACGGGCTGCAGCGTTCTGGATAGGTTGCAGGGGTTTAATGGCACAGGCAGGGAGCCCAGCCAACAGCGAGTTGCAGTAATCCAGACGGGAGATGACAAGTGCTTGGATTAGGACCTGTGCCGCTTTCTGTATAAGGTAGGGTCGTACTCTGCGAAAGTTGTAGAGCATAAACCTGCAGGATCGGGTCACCGCTTTGATGTTAGCAGAGAACTAACTGGTCCTCTGTAGCTCAATGTGGTCCTCTGTAGCTCAATTGGTAGAGCATGGCGCTTGTAACGCCAGGGTAGTGGGTTCGATCCCCGGGACCACCCATACTTAAAAATGTATGCACACATGACTGTAAGTCGCTTTGGATAAAAATGTCTGCGAAATGGCATATTATATTATTATTATATTATTAGAACGACAGGGTGTTGTCCAGGGTCACGGCAAGGTTCTTTGCACTCTGGGAGGAGGACACAATGGAGTTGTCAACCGTGATGGCGAGATCATGGAGCGGGCAGTCCTTCCCCGGGAGGAAGAGCAGCTCCGTCTTGCCGAGGTTCAGCTTGAGGTGGTGATCCGACATCCACACGGATAGGTCTGCCAGACATGCAGAGATGCGATTCGCCACCTGGTTATCAGAAGGGGGAAAGGAGAAAATGAATTGTGTGTCGTCTGGGTAGCAATGATAGGAGAGACCATGTGAGGATATGACAGAGCCAAGTGACTTGGTGTATAGAGAGAATAGGAGAGGGCCTAGAACTGAGCCCTGGGGGACACCAGTGGTGAAAGCACGTGGTGCGGAGACAGATTCTCGCCACGCCACCTGGTAGGAGCGACCTGTCAGGTAGGACGCAATCCAAGAGTGAGCAGCGCCGGAGATGCCCAACTCGGAGAGGGTGGAGAGGAGGATCTGATGGTTTACAGTATCAAAGGCAGCAGATAGGTCTAGAAGGATAAGAGCAGAGGAGAGAGAGTTAGCTTTGGCAGTGTGGAGAGCCTCCGTGACACAGAGAAGAGCAGTCTCAGTTGAATGACCAGTCTTGAAACCTGACTGGTTAGGATCAAGAAGGTCATTCTGAGAGAGATAGCAGGAGAGTTGGCTAGAAACGGCACGCTCAAGAGTTTTGGAGAGAAAAGAAAGAGGGATCGAGTGTAGGTTTTTTGAGGAGGGGTGCAACTCTCGCCCTCTTGAAGACGGAAGGCACATAGCCAGCGGTCAAGGATGAGTTGATGAGCGAGGTGAGGTAAGGGAGAAGGTCTCCGGAAATGGTCTGGAGAAGAGAGGAGGGGATAGGGTCAAGCGGGCAGGTTGTTGGGCGGCCGGCCGTCACAAGTCGCAAGATTTCATCTGGAGAGAGAGGGGAGAAAGAAGTCAAAGCATAGGGTAGGGCAGTGTGAGCAGGACCAGCGGTGTCATTTGACTTAATAAATGAGGATCGGATGTCGTCAACCTTCTTTTCAAAATGGTTGACGAAGTCATCCACAGAGAGGGAGGAGGGAGGGGGAGGAGGAGGAGGATTCAGCATGGAGGAGAAGGTGGCAAAGAGCTTCCTAGGGTTAGAGGCAGAGGCTTGACATTTAGAGTGGTAGAAAGTGGCTTTAGCAGCAGAAACAGAGGAAGAAAAAGTAGAGAGGAGGGAGTGAAAAGATGACAGGTCCGCAGGGAGTCTAGTTTTCCTCCATTTCTGCTCGGCTGCCAGGAGCCCTGTTCTGTGAGCTCGCAATGAGTCGTCAAGCCACGGAGCAGGAGGGGAGGACCGAGCCGGCCGGGAGGATAGGGGACATAGAGAGTCAAAGGATGCAGAAAGGGAGGAGAGGAGGGTCGAGGAGGCAGAATCAGGAGACCGGAGGGAGAAGGATTTAGCAGAGAGAGAGAGAGCGAAGGTTGCGACGGCGCATTACCATCTGAGTAAGGGCAGAGTGAGTAGTGTTGGAGGAAAGCGAGAGAGAAAAGGATACAAAGTAGTGGTCAGAGACTTGGAGGGGAGTTGCAGTGAGATTAGTAGAAAAACAGCATCTAGTAAAGATGAGGTCAAGCGTATTGCCTGCCTTGTGAGTAGGGGGGGACGGTGAGAGGGTGAGGTCAAAAGAGGAAAGGAGTGGAAAGAAGGAGGCAGAGAGAAATTAGTCAAAGGTAGACGTAGGGAGGTTAAAGTCACCCAGAACTGTGAGGGGTGAGCCATCCTCAGGGAAGGAACTTATCAAGGCGTCAAGCTCATTGATGAACTCTCCAAGGGAACCTGGAGGGCGATAAATGACATGGATGTTAAGCTTGAATGGGCTAGTGACTGTGACAGCATGGAATTCAAATGAGGAGATAGACAGATGGGTCAGGGGAAAAAGAGAGTGTCCACTTGGGAGAGATGAGGATTCAAGTGCCACCGCTGCGCTGACCAGATGCTCTCGGGGTATGCGAGAACACATGATCAGACGAGGAAAGAGCAGTAGGAGTAGCAGTTTCTGTGGTAATCCATGTTTCTGTCAGCGGCAAGAAGTCGACGGACTGGAGGGTAGCATAGGCTGAGATGAACTCTGCCTTGTTGGCCGCAGAACGGCAGTTCCAGAGGCTGCCGGAGACCTGGAACTCCACGTGGGTCGTGCGCGCAGGGACCACCAGATTAGAGTGGTAGCAGCCACGCGGTGTGAAGCGTTTGTATGGCCTGTGCAGAGAGGTGAGAACAGGGATAGACAGACACATAGTTGACAGGCTACAGAAAAGGCTACAATAATGCAAAAGAGATCAGAATGAAATTAACTAAACATCTGGGGAAGCAAGAGAGCGGGGCCTCCCTCGACTAACTCCTGCAGAACAACTTGGCAGAACTGTCTTCGTTTTGGGGACAGCTGCCGCAGAACAAAGAGCATCCACTACGTTCCCTACACACCATCATTTGTTATGGCTACATTTTGAATTAATGCAAGCTAGTATCACTATGGATGGAAACTTGTGCAGACCTTCGCACGCTAACTATAGATTTGCTATCATGACACCACCAAAGTACAATGCACAGTCTCACAACTTCAACTACAAAATAACCCTTGGTAACCCTTTCTTGTACAGTTTGAATAATGGGTTAACTAACTGCAGGTCTATCCAACCATATGACTGATCCCTCTAATATGCATAAGTGGTATAATTATGGGCATATTATGGAATAATTTTGCATAACTCATTTAATGTTCTATGCAATCACGTATTGAATATTTAATAACTTAGAATAGCAGTACATTATAATAAGGCTTATAAAAATAAACCATAGAAGATGAATGCAATTAAACTCAGTTCAGACACATTAGGAAATGGAAAATACCCCTCAGCGTCTTCTATTGGGACAGTTACCAAAGGCCGCCTAGGCCTGTTAGTAGACTAATGTTAGAAATGATCACCAGCTGGTTCTGAGGCAGAAATTATTGGAAGTGAAACAACCATAACTTATATAGATAGATCAGTTATTAAAGCACCACCAACACCACCATCTACCCAAACCTTGCCAGACAGTGAGATCTTTTAGATCAGCACCACCACCGACTGGTCCCAGATCTGTTTGTGATCTTGCCAACTCCATTATCAAGCCTAGGAACATACAGAAACCTAGGATCAAGCCAAACATGGCATGGCAATCCCATAAGGAGTTTGCAAGAGAGCAGACACAGACTGGCACCCAGGCTAGCCAGTAGCACAGCAACACTGGGAACAGAGATGATAGATATCTGTTTGAGAGAGAAGGATAGTAAGAGCATTTCTGTAACAACAGATTGGACCATTTACTATATAGCATCAGTCCAAGTCCTCCTTTGTTACTTGAGTGTTTGCTGGCGTATGTTGAGGTTGGACAGCCGTTGCCAGTGCGGTTTTGAATGAGGCTGGAGGAGGAACAATGACAGTACAGTATACAGTTCTTTCATTGACTCTAACCCCCCCTGGTGTGAGTTATTTTTATCCATGACTCTTCAGCCCTCAAGGGATGCATCTCTCCGAATCCTATGTGTACAATAACCAAACACATGCTGGCCACCTTGAATCTTTGACCTCAACCATACATCAAGTCTCTTCTTCCTGTAAGACCAAGAGCCATAGTATTCACAGAGATGCGCATGGAAGAGGAAGAAGTCCAGCAAAAAGGCATGGTCTGGTCGAGTGGATACGATGCAGAACAGATCATGGCGTCCATAGCCAGAGCAGAGAATGGACCAGTGTAGTCAGCGTCACGATCATCTCTGGTCCAAAGAAACAGGACGGTTGATTTCCCATGAACTCAGCAGAGAGAGATGAGTACAGAACCGGCATCACTCAGCAAACTGAATGACTGTATCTAGTTACAGTCTGTCCTGTGCAATGGGATGAAGTCGTTTATCGACATCAGAAGTAGGCTTGGGCGATATACTGTTTATACCGTAGACCGGGGTATTTTGAAATACCGACGGTATGTTTTCAATACCGGGGGGGTTGGGGGCACTCCCGCCTCGCGGGGCCTACGGGGGTGTGTGCTACGCCACTGCTTATAACTAACTACAGTGGGAAGAACAAGTATTTGACACACTGCCGATTTTGCAGGTTTTCCTACTTACAAAGCATGTAGAGGTCTGTAATTTTTATCATAGGTACACTTCAACTGTGAGAGACGGAATCTAAAACAAAAATCCAGAAAATCACATTGTATGATTTTTAAGTAATTAATTTGCTTTTTATTGCATGACATAAGTATTTGATCACCTACCAACCAGTAAAAATTCCGGCTCTCACAAACCTGTTAGTTTTTCTTTAAGAAGCCCTCCTGTTCTCCACTCATTACCTGTATTAACTGCACCTGTTTGAACTCGTTACCTGTATAAAAGACACCTGTCCACACACTCAATCAAACAGACTCCAACCTCTCCACAATGGCCAAGACCAGAGAGCCAATAGGCAAGCAGCTTGCTGAGAAGGCAACAACTGTTGGCGCAATTATTACAGTTGAAGTGTACATATGATACAATTACAGACCTCTACATGCTTTGTAAGTAGGAAAACCTGCAAAATCGGCAGTGTATCAAATACTTGTTCTCCCCACTGTATGTTAAGTAGAACTATAAGAAATCTAAGATGTGTCAAATAAATGATATCCAGCTCAGGGCTCCAGCTATGCATTTGGCTTTCTAACTCGCTAAGTAAGTGGCTAGATGTCAAGATCAAGCTTCTTGGTTAGAGCAGAGACATTCAATCCCCTCCTGGATCAATATCCCTTTATTTTGTGTTTTTAAAAATAATAATTTGAAATAGCACCCCTTGTGTGCACTTCCAGTAATACCGTATTCAGAAATGGTATAAAGGTATGAAAATCTGGATACCGCCCAACCCTAATCAGATGGCTGACTGGATCTTACTGTACTTACTGGACTACTGAAACTCTTCAGGGGATAAGTGACCTATCATTGCTGTCCTATCAGTGATGTCCCACCAGTGATGTCCTATCATTTCTGTCCTATCAGCGATGTCCTCTCCTCACAAACGTTGAGGCTAGTTCACTGCATATGACTGACCCTGTATTTTTCTCCTTCAAACAGAACATGCCAGAATGGCTTTTTATCTTCTATGCACCCATGCAAGATCAAAGATGATTGAAAAATGTGTGAAACTGTTCACTTTTATATTTTGAGTTTCTCGGCAGGCATTGATATCTAGTTGTTTTGGTTGAAAAGGAAGAATGAGTCAGCAGTAGGACTTTGAAAGGTCATGGCTTATCTGTGTGACACTGTCCCCAATGTTCAGCTGAATACTGTGGTCATGTGATCATGGAAAGAAGATGGGAGCAGTATAGAGATGTCAGTGTGCATTGTACTATATAGGTCACAAGTGGCTTTAGGAGAAAACCCCTAGCGTTTACAGCACCGACCACAGTCACCTCTCCCTCTGTGTCTCCAACCACAGTCGTATTTTCAAAACTGTCTCCAATAATCACTCTTTCCTCTCTGTAACCACGGTACCCACCACAGTCATGGGAAGTGCCTAAATAAAATATGAAATTGTTTTTTTAAGGAAATCCTCAAATTAACACAATTTCAGTAGGATGGGAACATTTAAGTGGGAACATTTAAACTTTTATGTTAGAGCACATTTATTGCTGTTAAACGCCTTTCTGGCTGAAGAGCCCTACATGAAGAAGAGGACACTTTATATTCATTGAATTACTCTCTCTCTCTCTCTCTCTCTCTCTCTCTCTCTCTCTCTCTCTCTCTCTCTCTCTCTCTCTCTCTCTCTCTTTCTTTCTCTCTCTCTCTCTCTCTCTCTCTCTCTCTCTCTCTCTCTCTCTCTCTCGCTTTCTTTCTTTCTCTCTCTGCTCTCTCTCTCTCTCTCTCTCTCTCTCTCTCTCTCTCTCTCTCTCTCTCTCTCGCTCGCCCTCTCTCTCTCTCTCTCCTACAGGGTCCGAGGGGTCCCGACGGTCCAGCTGGGGAGAAGGGGTCAGTTGGAGGAAAGGTGAGGATGGGGTTCAGCGGTCACACTGTTGGTTGTTCTGCTGCATGTACCTCCACAGTTACGGAACAATTTGACTTCATCATTCCCCAATGAACACCAACCACAGCCAATGGAAAACATGGATACTGCAATGCGACATTTGTTTGTGCCTTAATTTGGTACTTTTATGTCCATATAATACTTTTAAATGTGGCTTTGTTCACAAGTCTTTTATTGCTTTGATTATTTTCAACATCTGAAAGACACTTTCTGGGACATGTTCTTCTTTTAGGGACATTTCCTTTTGCCAACTTTGGGAAACTTTTAATTAAAGCAATTGTAAATGGTTTGTGGCATTCTTAAAGACAAGAGTTCTTGGGTATTGTGTGTGTGCGTGTCTGTGTGTGTGTGTCTGTGTCCATCTATCTGTGTGTGTGTGTATGTGTGTGTGTGTGTGTGTGTGTGTGTGTGTGTGTGTGTGTGTGTGTGTGTGTGTGTGTGTGTGTGTGTGTGTGTGTGTGTGTGTGTGTGTGTGTGTTAGTAAGACCGTAAGTGACATTGCCAAATGTGTTTTTCTACAGGGTCCCGATGGTCCACCAGGAAAACTAGGCTTCTCAGGGGAGATGGTATGTAGTACAAGCAGTTTTAAGATCGTTATGTTTTTAATAACAGCTTTTGCTCATACCCTCCCACTCTTCCCAGTTATAGGCTGTGTCCAACTCATGGGCCTTTGGGGATAGGCTTTCCTACCTTACATGTTTACTTTGCCATGCCTGGTAATGAATAATATAGTACGATGAGACTATGGGCGTTTCTCAAAATGCATACTACCTACTTCCTGCTCTGAGCACCAAATTGGAGCACGGGAGTGTCGGAGTGGAGTCCAAATCAAAGTATGCAAAACGGAGCACGGTGGGCACTTCTCGAATGCGTACTCCGTTTGTACATCGATGCAAGCTTCAACGGAAAGTATGCACCGAAATATTATGTGCTTATTATTTTTACACCCTTTTTCTTTCTGTGTTATTTTGCACCAGGGAAAGATTGGGGAGCCTGGGGAAGCTGGGCCTAAAGGATTTCCAGTAAGTGATTGGGCTAACAGAGTGCTCTTTTAGGTTAGTCATGACTAGGGTGGACACCTGTTGGTGGAAACCATTAGCAATTGGAAAAGAGAGGCTTGTGTGTAGCATGTTAGACATTACACTTATATATGAATGTGAGAGTAATGTATTGGTGTAACGAAACCAACTAGCCTAGGGGTGGGATGTACTGTATATAGTAGAAAATGGACGTGCCCTAAGCACTAAACTATCTCCATTCCTTACAATGGGTTTGTAATATTCCAGGGTCGCAAAGGACCCTCAGGAGCTCCAGGTGCCAAAGGAATAGCAGGAGAGCCGGTAAGTCCTTTTATCTCTAAAAGTTTCAAATCCCAAATCAAATCAAAGTTTATTGGTCGCGTACACAGTTTAGCAGGTGTTATAGTGGTGCACCGAAATGCTTATGTTACTAGCTCCTAACAATGCAGTCAAATGTCAAACAATTAAAATGTTTTAAAAATAAATGAAAAAAAGGCAAGAAATCAAGAACGGCAGGACGAATCCAATTAACAACCCAAATAGCACTGTAGCAGTATCAAAATGCAATCTATACATATGTACACCGGGGGAATTTACATAAGATATACTAGGAATGGTATGTAAAGCAGTAGATATATTAGAGTGAGCTATGTCAAGAATCCAGTATATAAATAAATATGCAGTGTATAAACAGTGTAACTAAACTACAATGTACAGTAGTAGAAATATCAGAATAAGCTATGTCGGGGATTCAGTATTTAAATACACCGTGTGAAACGGGAAGTGACCAGTGGTTCAATGTCTCTATAACATGGGACAGCAGTGTTGACTGTGAGTGTGTGTGTGTGAGTGTGTGTGTGTGATAGCTTGTGTCGTGTGAGTGAGTGTGCATCACCTGGTAGACGGCTAGTGATGGCTGTCTGATGGCCTGGTAATAGATTCCGTTTTTTAGTCTCTCGGTCTTGGCTTTGATGCACCTGTATTGTCTCCGTCTGTCGGATGGTAGCCGAGTGAACAGTCCGTTGCTCGGGTGACTGAGGTCCTTGATGATCTTCTTGGCCTTCCCTTGACACCGGGTGCTATAGATGTCCTGGAGGGCAGGCAGCATGGGCCGGTGATGCGTTGGGCTGTCCACACCACCCTCTGGAGAGCGGTTGAGGGTGGAGCAGTTGCCGTACCAGGTGGTGATGCAGCCCGACAGAATGCTCTCAATGGTGCATCTGTAGAAGTTTGTGAGGGTCTAAGGCAGGGGTGGGCAAACATAGAAAATCCGCAGGGGATCAAATACTTTTTTCCCTCACTGTAATCCTTGCCTACGCCAGTCACGGTTATCTGAGTCTTAATGTGAACGATGGGTCTGGTCACCTCTCTTGGTAAGGGCATCAAAGTCTGGTGTCATCTTTGATGTAGAGATTCTCAGAACAGCTGACAGGTGGTCATTTGTTAAATTTGACCTGTGACAGGTTTTGTTGTAAATCATGACTGACAACGTTTGTTCACACATATGTGGACCAAAAGAACAAGTATCCTTTGGGCATGCTTTTTAATGTTTGGAAACTTTGTTTCACTCAGTGAGCCATAGAACTGTTCTATTGTTGCTGTTTTGTACTTCTCCTTCAAAGCACTGTCACATTGGATGTCGATGAGCTCCAATGGTGTGTCTGGTGGTGCTTTCTCACTGTCGAAAGACAAGGGGCATGATACAAGCTCCAGCTCAGCCTCAATCCTGGTGAAGTCTGAGAAGCGGCGGGAAAACTCAGCATGCAGGTCGATCAAAGTGCTACTGTATGTCTCAGTGCGGCACTGCGATGTGGGCACGTTCACTGCGGCCAGTGTCGGAAAATGAGCGAGAGACCGGCTGCTCATTTGTCTGGAGAACAACATAAGTTTGGCATTGAATGCTTTCACGTTGGAATAAGGTTCATGCACAAAAACACAATTTCCCTGCAGTTTCACATTTAGATCGTTCAGATGCCCCAATATGTCCACACCGAAAGCAAAGTCGCCCAGCCAGTCTGTGTCTTTCAACTCTGAGAAGTTGTCAGCTTTACCAACTGTATCAAGGAACATACCTATCTCCCCTCTCAGTTCCCACACGCGGCAAAATACTTTTCCTAGGCTTAGCCAGCGCACATTTGAACGGTACAACAAGTCCTGGTGCTCTGCCTCTGTGTCATTGAGCAGCTGAATGAACTGACAATGGTTAAGCCCCCTTGCCCGTGTAAAGTATACAAGGGAGAGGAGGGTGGTTTGCCCTTTTCCTTAATCGGACTAGAACTCCAGCTCGCCTTCCCCTCCTCCGGCTGGGTCTTTTTGGAAAAAGGGCTCCCGTGATGAAGGGAACTGCTTCGGTTAGTCTAGACAGAGGTTCCCACTCCGGAAAGCCGAATTTGTGGTGAGTAATCTCAGATCTGATGTCCAGAAGTGTTTGTCGGTAATAGGAAATAATACTAGAACCTTTCTGATCAAATAAAGTACAAAATAACATTAAAATAAACAAAAGACTGCAAAGTTGGCTGGGAGCTAGCAACTGGGCGACCATTGTAGGCGCCATCTTGTTGTTTTACCCTGCCAGCCCTAACTGTCTCCGGCCCAGGCAGGGATATGAGTGTTATTTCCTATATTTAAATTCCTGTAGAGCTCAACACTTAATGCCACATCAGGTTTGCATGATATTTCACCTTCAAGCCAGGAAGCTATCTGATTTCATTACTATTCCTAACTCTGTTTACCATAAGATCTCCATACACCCTTCCTTGGGCTTCACTCTCTGTCTCTGGGTTTGGCCTACTACTCTGTCCAGTCGGTGCTGGGTACTCCTTCTGTCTAGTGTTAGGATCTGTCAAGCTTGAAATCAGGGTTTTTTGGACCCAACCAACATCTTAGAGAGGAGGTGACTAGGGGCAGTTTGCCTAAATAACTGCATCTCCACGCATTGGACAGACTTAAGTGTGCACTTGTCTTTACAGTACATCTTCATTCCGACACCTGAAATGGTGCAGCATCTGCTTGAGCAGCCCAGGGAAGCCTAAACCTGCATCCTGCATTATGTAACTGGGAGAGAGAGGGAGAAAGAGAAAGGGGGAAGAGAAAAAGACAGAGAGAGAAAATAATACGGAGAGAGACAGAGAGGACAGTAAGATGAGATGATTTACTCTGAGCTTCCTGCAGACAGCTCTATGTGAGTATTGGATAGTTTCCACCACATACAGAAGCTTTGGCTCTGTGTTCTAAGACTCCAGGAGAGGGACTGGATCTCAATCTCAAGACCAGATTAATTTATCTCCACCATCCACATGTATATCCTCAACGTCTTTTTCAAACTCTATTCTTGCTGCCTTTTTTTCACTCACATTTGCTTTTTTTATCCGCACTGTACTTATTTAGTTTTACCAGTGTAGTTACTAGGATATAAAGGGCTTCGTAGGCTCTTGGTCATCACATCATACCATGGCTCTGTCTTATCACCATAGGGACTTACTGGGCCACCAGGAACTATGGGTCCACTGGGAGAGATGGGACTGAAGGTGAGTTACACTATTCTAAATGGCGTAGTGTGCTTAGTTCTGGCTCCAGTGACCAATGCCTAGCCCCCGAATTTGATTATCAATGGTAATTGTTCTCTGACAGGGTCCAACTGGAAAGATTGGGGAGTGGGGACTACCAGGCGAACCAGGAGAGAAGGTAAGATTATACTCTTTAATGCTCAACAAGGTACTCACTGTTTGGACCTCAGGAAGAGTAGCTGTTGCCTTGGCAACAGCTAATGGGGATCCTGGTAAAATACTAAATACTTTCAGTGACATATTCACATTTCCAGTAATCACATTTCCATTAATCGATTCAGTCTATGTACGTTGCACACAGTGTATTGAAATGGAAAGCGTCCATTTGTTCATTGTGTTATTGACCTGTGTGACAGGGTGCCCTCGGACCAGCAGGAAACCTCGGAGAGCAGGGCCTTATCGGACAGAGGGTGAGTACCCCAGAGCACACGTCTTCTACCAATGTTTGTGATTCTTGTAAAAATCTAATCTTATTGGTCACATACACATTTTTATTTTATTGTATTATTATTATTATATTATATTATTATTATATTATTATTATTATTATTATTATTATTATTATTATTATATTATTATATTAAATTATTATTATTATTATTATTTTTTTTAGCAGATGTTATTGCGGGTGTAGCGAAATGTTTGTGTTCCTAGCTCCAACAGTGCAGTAGTATCTAACAATTCACAACAATAAACACAAATCTAAAATAATGGAATTAAGAAATATATAAATATTAGGACAAGCAATGTCGGAGTGGCATTGACAGTAGAATACAGTATATACATATGAAATGAGTAAAACAGTATGTAAACATTATTAAAGGGACCAGTGTTCCATAGGTACTTTGGCCTTATTCACTTGTACTTAAACCCCCTCTCCTTCAGGGTGAGATGGGGATCGATGGGGACGCCGGACAGAGTGGTCCTGATGGACTCAAGGTAAGAGATTAAAAACACTAAGGCAATAGTCACTGTGATGAATCCTAACTTGTGTTGAAAGTCTTGGACCAGAGTTGACAGTTGACAGTCATTGTCTCATTGACATCAATAGACGATTTGCCAGTTATCTCAAGTTAGGGTATGACTGTTTAACCCCCGTCAGTTTAAAGATATGTTTTTTTGCATTGGATGCGTCTCAATCCGCCGCATCCGCCTATGTCGGACTTATGAAATGTAACAGAGCTAGAGCGGTGTGTGTCAGTCCATGAGACATTCCGACAATCAGTGTTTCTTACAAAATCGTCTGTAGCGTCCGAAGAGTTTGGGCTACACACTAATATGACCCATCTGTGGAAAGGTGAGACTCTCACCAACACATACATGTCGGTTTTGCTCTAGGACGCCGACATGCCTCACAAGACTCGTCTGAAGGTCCCCCGGTATCAGATGAATGGAAGTACAGGATATATTGTATGGATACTGTTTAGTGCCAAAAAGAAGGGGTTAAATACATGTTTAAAAAAATATACAAATGTTTCCTGATCTTTCTTATTTCTCTCAGATATAGGACAGACACTTCAGAACAAACTTTGTTTAGATTTTTTGGGGGGGACTATCTGTTGTTCCGTGTAGTGAATCTGTTATTCAATGTGTTTGTGTGGGCTAATAGCAGTAAGGCCCAAAAACATTTCTCATTAAATAGTTTTTTATATATTTTTGGGATGCTTCAAGGGGTCTTAAAATTCAAAATCAAATAGCAAAATGATCCTTGGTATGACCTTAAAACAATTCCATTAGCTTAGTAGTACCCCCCCCACACACACACAAGATAATGTGATTCTATCGTCATCAGATGTGATCTAAGCCATGCTCATATGGAGTTAATGAACTGTACTATACTGTTAAACTGTAATTCTTTTTGGTCAGACTCAAGTGTTGCATTGTGTAAGATGTTGGCAGTCATACAGTTGGAGCTGCATTCTGTTGACGCTGAGTGAAAATAAACATGGAGCAGGCAGCAGGCCTATTTTGAGCTCTTCCTTCTGGCAGGAGTTGTTATGGAAATACATTGCTGTTCACATGGAACCCAACCCTTCTCCACTTCGGCCTTCAAAGACCTTGTTTGAATATTTTCTACTACCGCCAACATCTGCACCCGTGAAATGTGTGATCAGGTGTAATTGTCTCCTTGGTCCTCTGCTCAGGGTGAGAAGGGTGACATGGGACCGGAAGGGGGTAAAGGAGAGAGGGGTGAAATCGGACTGAAAGGAAAGGAAGGGTCTCCCGGACCTCCTGGCTTAGTGGGAGTGAGGGTGAGTGTCCAAACTTAACCTAACATTCTTAAATTTCCTGTACTTGACTCTCAGGTTTTCATGAATCAGATTGCTGAGTTTCTCACTTCACTTGCTGTTGTTTTAGATGAAATGTTACTCTGCAACATGTAGGCTACTACATGTCAAGGCAAAAAGGATACCAACACACCTTTGTCTCCTGCAAACAGTGATGTTTTATTTTCTTTACTGAGAAAACTGTGGATGAACATTTTGACCATTGCCTTGTCTTCGTCATAGAGGTTTATTGCTGTTAGAATAAACAGCTGTTGACTTCTGACACCAATAACTGTCTTCCAGGGTCAGGAGGGCAAACCTGGCAAGTTTGGTGAAAGAGGAAAACCAGGAGAGAAGGTATGTATGTCAGCTCAGTTCCTCATGAAGTACGCCTCCCTCCATCTGTCACTGTCATTAATTTAATTCACTGAAACCTGTTAGTCGTTTCACCGTACCTGTCTTGGTTTTTAAAGAAATATGGATGGCTGCTTGTTATTGTATTCAACAAACATTAGGGGCCAATGGCCTCTAGAGCCACTATATTGAAAGTGGACATTCAAAATGGAGAGTTGAGATGACACAGTAAAACTATCCACACACAACTTGTCAGTGACTGAAAGTCGACCTTGCTCATTTTGCATGCCTTCTCTAGGGCAGCAAGGGTCACATGGGTCACCTGGGAGAGACTGGGCCAATCGGTGAACAAGGAGAAGCGGGATTTGTTGGGCCGAAGGGATCGAGAGGAACCATTGGACCAGTGGTAAGGCTCTGTGGATTTATTCATGGTTTTTCGGCTGATGTGTTGGTTGCCTTGTGTGCTAGGTCGTAAAAACTGAACATCTGATGTTCACAGGGTGCACCAGGGAGAATGGGCCAGCAAGGTGAAACAGGCATCACAGGATACGAGGTAAAAGCTACCCTTTACTACATACAATATCCTTCACTCAATATCAACGCAATATGATTCTAGATCAATTAAAATATAGCCAGATGATCGATCGATGAAGAGTTATAAAGCGTTGCCACCTAGGACATTATCAAACAAAATCTACCGTATCTAAATTGCTGCCTTTAGTGAGTATTGTTGACCTAATGACACATACCATTGACTGGCTCCAAGAGGGTAGCTATCGTCGTTGCCCTGTGTGATGAATAACACTGTCTCTATTGTCCTCCTCTGTGGTTGTAGGGCCACACAGGACGGCAGGGCCCACTGGGACCTCCTGGACCAAAAGGTGAAAAGGTACACTTCCCACAGTCCTGTCTGTGTCTAATAGCTCTCCCTTTGTGGGCGTCTGGACGTGTGTGTCTGGACTAATGATCTGTGGAGGTATAGTGGTGACAGCCCTAGCACTGTCCGTCTCTCTCTGTCCTTTAGTCAATCCTTGGAATATATAATACTAATTATTATTATTATATTATTATATTATATTATTATTATATAATGTATGCGATTTAGCAGACGCTTTTATCCAAAGCGACTTACAGTCATGGAGAAACTCTGGGCCCTAGAGATAGGCTATTACTGGGCCCTAGAGATAGGCTATTACTGGGCCATAGAGATAGGCTATTACTGGGCCATAGAGATAGGCTATTACTGGGCCATAGAGATAGGCTATTACTGGGCCATAGAGATAGGCTATTACTGGGCCATAGAGATAGGCTATTACTGGGCCATAGAGATAGGCTATTACTGGGCAATAGAGATAGGCTATTACTGGGCCCTAGAGATAGGCTATTACTGGGCCATAGAGATAGGCTATTACTGGGCCATAGAGATAGGCTATTACTGGGCCATAGAGATAGGCTATTACTGTCAGGAAAAAGTCCTAGCCATATCAATTGGTGTCCAGCCACTGAGAGTGACTGAATTCCACGGCTGTTTCAGTCTGATTATCCCACAAGAAGCGATTAAATATAATTGATCAATGGTATGCACCATGTTACTTCTCATTAACTCTGGAGAAATTTGATCAAACGTAGGTCATTGGCCACAAACTGCTTTCAACTGCTATTGGAATAATCCTAGTCATCATTATTCAGGAGATCAATCATGGTTCAGTTGGATAAATAGAACTTCGATATGAAGTACTCTTTCCTGTTTGCTGGTAAACTCGTAATGTCGACCATACTTACGTTCTAATGAGATCAATATTGTGCCACTACTCATAAATTGTTTAGTTTTGGATCTCTGTTCCACTGTTTCCTCCTGTGTTTAACTGATGTACAGCACATGCACTATGAAATACTACAAGCATTCCACATCATTCACCGGCCCCTGTAAAGTCACTGGAACATTCAACGCAATCTTTTTATTGAAAGCAACCTATTGCCATCATCAACAAAAACTGTAAACATTAATTTAACCTGATTAAAATATATTTTAAAAAAAATTAAATCAGTTTTCCCTGTCTGTTTTCCAGGGTGAACAGGGGGAGGACAGTAAGGTGGAAGGCCCTCCCGGTCCACAAGGTGACAGAGTGAGTTCCTCTCATCATGTAGCCCTCCGTCTGCTGCGTTGTTTGGTGTTGCTTTGCTATAGTAGCTAGGGATCTACAGTACCAGTCAAAAGTTTGGACACAATAATAATAATAGTAAAGACATCAAAACTATGAAATAACACATATGGAATCATGTAGTAACCAAAAAAGTGTTAAACAAATCAAAATATATTTTATATTTGAGATTCTTCAAATAGCCAACCTTTGCCTTGATGACAGCTTTGCACACACACTTGGCATTCTCTCAACCAGCTTCACCTGGAATGCTTTTCCAACAGTCTTGAAGGAGTTCCCACATATGCTGAGCACTTGTTGGCTGCTTTTCCTTTACTCTGCTGTCCGACTCATCCCAAACCATCTCAATTGGGTTGAGGTCGGGGGATTGTGGAGGCCAGGTCATCTGATGCAGCACTTCATCACTCTCCTTCTTGGTAAAATAGTCCTTACACATCCTGGAGGTGTGTTGGGTCATTGTCCAGTTGAAAAACAAATGATAGTCCCACTAAGCCCAAACCAGATGGGATGGCGTATCGCTGCAGAATGCTGTGGTAGCCATGCTGGTTAAGTGTGCCTTGAATTCTAAATAAATCACAAACAGTGTCACCAGCAAAGCACCCCCACGCCATAACACCTTCTCCACCATGCTTTACGGTGGGAACTACACACGTTCACCCACATTGCGTCTCACAAAGACACGGCAGTTGGAACCAAAAATCTCCAATTTGGATCTCCAATTTCCACTGGTCTAATGTCCATTGCTAGTGTTTCTTGGCCCAAGTAGGTCTCTTCTTCTTATTGGTGTCCTTTAGTAGTGGTTTCTTTGCTGCAATTCGACCATGAAGGCCTGATTCACACAGTCCCCTCTGAACAGTTGATGTTGAGATGTGTCTATGACTTGAACTCTGTGATGCATTTATTTGGGCTGCATTTTCTGAGGCTGGTAACTCTAATGAACTTATCCTCTGCAGCAGAGGTAACTCTGGGTCTTCCATTCCTGTGGCGGTCCTCATGAGAGCTAGTTTCATCATAGTACTTGATGGTTTTTGCGACTGCACTTGAAGAAACTTTCAAAGTTCTTGAAATATTTCGTATTGACTGTCCGTCATGTCTTAAAGTAATGATGGACTGTCGTTTCTCTTTGTTTATTTCAGCTGTTCTTGCCATAATATGGACTTGGTCTTTTACCAAATAGGTCTATCTTCTGTATACCCCCCCCCCCCCCCCTCCCACCTTGTCACAACACAACTGATTGGCTCAAATGCATTAAGAAGGAAATAAATTCCACAAAATAACTTTTAAGAAGGCACACCTGTTAATTGAAATGCATTCCAAGTGACTACCTCATGAAGCTGGTTGAGAGAATGCCAAGAGTGTGCAAAGCTGCCATCAAGGCAAAGGGTGGATATTTGAAGAATCTCAAATATAAAATATATTTTGATTTCTTTAACACTTTTTTGGTTACTACATGATTCCATATGTGTTATTTCATTGTTTTATGTCTTCACTATTATTCTACAATGTAAAAAATAGTAAAAATATAGAAAAACCCTTGAATCAGTAGGTGTGTCCAAACTTTTGACTGGTAGTGTATATGCTTAATTATTTTTGGTTATCATCTGAAACCAGGGTCCTACCGGAGACAGGGGAGACAGAGGAGAATCAGGGGACCCAGGATACCTAGTGAGTGGGATCGTCGATTGTATTGTATACGTTAATGTTGTCTCATTTGGAATACATCCTTCATACATGGAAAGGGCTAACATTAACAAATGTCTATTTCCCAGGGCCAGCCAGGGGTGGATGGATTGAGGGGCAAAGCCGGAGCAACTGGACTGCCTGTGAGTAAAATGTTCTGTTTATGACATGCTGATTCAGTGTTCACTCACACTGATACAAATCAAACCACATTTTATTTGTGACAGTATCCACATTAGAATATCTACCTATTCAAAAGGCAAAACTTGTGATTTGTTTGTTTGATTGTTTCATCTTTTATTTGTTCTTTCATTCATTCTTTTTTTATATATATATATTGTAGGGACATCCTGGACCAAGGGGAATAGAGGGTCTGAAAGGGTCCAAAGGTGATCAAGTAAGGACAAAATACTTCGACAACGACTGAACTGTAGTATCCAGTTTTACCCACAACACCTGTTTGAACCACTTTGGTACCCCTTTGATTGATTTGAATGTATTGGCACTTTTGCAATGTGGTGATGTCATGTTTAAGCTGATGGTCTTTAACTCTTGATCTACTGCAGGGTCAGAAAGGCAAACGGGGGAAACAAGGCGAGTCTGGGACCAAAGGACCACCGGTGAGTGAGACATCTTGATCTTTTCATTTTAATACCGCATGTCATTTATTGATTGATTGGTTGATTGATTAATTGATTGTGCTAGAATGCAGGATCTCATATGTAACATTATTCTCTATTTTTCTCAGGGTCCCGAGGGTCCACCTGGCCCAAAGGGAGTGGTGGGAAGAGAGGGCCTTGAGGGCCAACCTGGAATGGACGGGCCTCCTGGGAAAGATGGTGACAAAGGAGTGAAGGTGAAGAAGGACATACATCATAACTGTGTATTCTTCTCATTGACTGAAATAAGCAGAGTCTGTTGCTACTATATGATTGGTCTTCTCTGTTAAGCCTCAGCCATCCTCAAATTGTTTGTGTCCATTCCTTAGGGGGAGCAAGGGGATGATGGAGAGTTAGGTATCATTGGCAAAGCTGGTAACAGCGGTAAAATGGGCGTGCCAGGGCTTCCAGGCGATCAGGGCTCCTTCGGACCCAAGGTGAGAGAGAGAAGAGAGAACATGCTCCAATGAACTGTGACCACCATGGTTATCGAATGATATGTTGTACTAGGTGTGAAGGATGAGAAATAGGTACTTGGAACTGTTGCTCCATGAAAGAAATCAACCTTCTCCACACGGTATCACAGGGTGAGAGGGGTCTCTCCGGCCAAACTGGACCTCCAGGGAAAGGAGGCCACATTGGCGGAATGGGAATTCCAGGAAAACAGGGTGACCAGGGGAACAAAGGACAGCCCGTGAGTAACATAGCAACATTGCTAAGTCAGTTTGATTGGTCATCATGACTAGGACATGATGATGAGGTGGATGACAATGACGACGGCGATGATGATAATGAAGATGCTTCCATCTCTCTCCCCAGGGTGACACAGGTGAATCAGGGTACCCAGGGGTTCTCGGGATGTTTGGACCAAAGGTACACTAGACTTCCCTCCATTTTCATCTCACACCTGAGTCACATGATCAAATAACACAGAGCTTTAAACATGGACCATCTATAAAGTTTCCCCTACAAGAATAAAGTTCTAAGCCGCGAGCGTCTGCAAAAAATATGGTTCTAATAAAACAACGGCAAAAAAGCATAACCCATTTTCAGCGGTAAATCAGGGATCTGCTGGAGATTAATAAGAAAGCTTTAAAAGGAATTTAAAGTCTCGAACGATTTGGTAGCGTTTATTGTCTTTCGTCTGAAAGGGATAAATCTGAATTAAAGACTGCTGCATTGGGGCAGAAAATCTATCACGGTCCACAAGAAGTTTAACACACCCATGTGTAATGTCACTTAACACGCCATAACTTCGGTTACTTTATTACCCTCTAGTGATGTTGCTCTGCAGGTGTTGGGCAGTTAAGAAAACTGAGAAGTTACAGGCTTTAATTAACATTTAGGCGGTAATTTAGTGAGTCATATGACTGCCAGTGCTCCAGTTGGAGATTTTCCTAGAGGGTTTCAGTTTGATATACTGTATACGAGGAGTGTTAGGCAGATGAGCCTTGGCTTCATGCTAAAGTGGAGATTGATGTCAGACGTACTGTAGGCTTAATGACTCCTCATCAAGACCTATCGAAGAAAACATTCCAGTGAAAGAGCTGTTAACTGAAGACACTTGGAGTGTTGTGTCTCTTGCTGACGGTGTTGCTTACTGTGCATACTACACACAGCCCACATGGTGCAACCTTTCACTCAGTTGGCCTAAGCTTCTATATGAAGTGATACTGGCCTTATTAACACATTGTATCTTATCAACACATATGTTTGTATCTTCATTAGGGACCTCCAGGAGATCTGGGCCCAGCCGGCATACAGGGACCAAAAGGGCCACATGGTTTGATGGTAAGAGGAGATTAGAAAAAGTGTTATTACATAATTCCCTATGTATTTCCTGGTCAGGTAATGTGGCCTATTTACAGTGCCTTGCAAAAGTATTCATCCCCCTTGGCGTTTTTTCCTATTTTGTTGCATTACAACCTGTAATTTAAATGGATTTTTATTTGGATTTCATGTAATGGACATACACAAAATAGTCCAAATTGGTGAAGTGAAATGAAAAAAATAACTTGTTTCAAAAAATTCTTAAAAATAAATAATGGAAAAGTGGTGCGTGCATATGTATTCACCCCCTTTGCTATGAAGCCTCTAAATAAGATCTGGTGCAACCAATTACCTTCAGAAGTCACATAATTAGTTAAATAAAGTCCACCTGTGTGCAATCTAAGTGTCACATGATCTGTCACATGATCTCAGTATATATACACCTGTTCTGAAAGGCCCCAGAGTCTGCACCACTACTAAGCAAGGGGCACCACCAAGCAAGCGGCACTATGCAGACCAAGGAGCTCTCCAAACAGGTCAGGGACAAAGTTGTGGAGAAGTACAGATCAGGATTGGGTTATTTAAAAAAAATCGGAAACTTTGAACATCTCACGGAGCACCATTAAATCCATTATAAAAAAATGGAAAGAATATGGCACCACAACAAATCTGCCAAGAGAGGGCCGCCCACCAACACTCACGGACCAGGCAAGGAGGGCTATAATCAGAGAGGCAAGAAAGAGACCAAAGATAACCCTGAAGGAGCTGCAAAGCTCCACAGCAGAGATTGGAGTATCTGTCCATAGGACCACTTTAAGCTGTACACTCCACAGAGCTGGGCTTTACGGAAGAGTGGCCAGAAGAAAAAAAACATTGCTTAAAGAAAAAAAGAAGCAAACACGTTTGGTGTTCGCCAAAAGGCATGTGGGAGACTCCCCAAACATATGGAAGAAGGTACTCTGGTCAGATGAGACTAAAATTGAGCTTTTTGGCCATCAAGGAAAACGCTATGTCTGGCGCAATCATAACACCTCTCATCACCCCGAGAATGCCATCCCCACAGTGAAGCATGGTGGTGGTAGCATCATGCTGTGGGGATGTATTTCCATCGGCAGGGACTGGGAATGATGGATGGCGCTAAATACAGTGAAATTCTTGAGGGAAACCTGTTTCAGTCTTCCAGAGATTTGAGACTGGGACGGAGGTTCATCTTCCAGCAGGACAATTACCCTAAGCATACTGCTAAAGCAACACTCGAGTGGTTTAAGGGGAAACATTTAAATGTCTTGGAATGGGGGCGGCAGGTAGCTTAATGGTTAAGAGCGTTGTGCCAGTAACCGAAAGGTCGCTGGTTCTAATCCCTGAGCCGACTAGGTGAAAAATCTGCCGATGTGCCCTTGAGCAAGGCACTTAACCCTAAATGCTCATGTAAGTCGCTCTGGATAAGAGTGTGGTATGACTTAAAGATTGCTGTACACCAGCCGAACCCATCCAACTTGAAGGAGCTGGAGCAGTTTTGCCTTGAAAAAAATCCCAGTGGCTAGATGTGCTAAGCTTATAGAGACATACCCCAAGAGACTTGCAGCTGTAATTGCTGCAAAAGGTGGCTCTACAAAGTATTGACTTTGGGGGGGTGAATAGTTATGCACGCTCAAGTTCTGTTTTTTTGTCTTATTTCTTGTTTGTTTCACAAAAAAACATATTTTGCATCTTCAAAGTGGTAGGCATGTTGTGTAAATCAAATGATACAAACCTCCAAAAAAATCAATTTTAATTCCAGGTTGTAAGGCAACAAAATAGGAAAAATGCCAAGGGGGGTGAATATTTTCGCTAGCCACTGTATAGGTTGGAACTTTGGTCAATATTTCATCCTAGGCAGAAACACTGGGCATATTAATTTATAATACATATAGTATATGCCATTTAGCAGATGCTTTTATCTATACATTTTCCGTACGGGTGGTCCCGGGAAATCGAACCCACTATCCTGGCATTGCAAACACCATTCTCAACTAACTGAGCAAAAGAGGGCCACCATATTGACAATATATGCCTTGTTAATTCATATAGTGCCTGCCCTCACTAACAATGCTTCTCTTTCTTTCTCTCTCCAGGGTAATGTTGGTGCCACAGGCCCAGTCGGTATCATCGGCCCCAGTGGTAATACAGTATGTACATCATCAAATCTCATACCCCTTATCTGCCAAAGAACATGTTATCCCTCTGTTTTTGGGGGGGCTATGATGGAGTAATTTCTCCTCTCTCTCTCTCTCAGGGTCCCCAAGGTGACAAAGGAAATCGAGGGGATACGGTGCGTGTCCTTATTTTGATGAATCATATCCCTTATACCAGACCTGGGTTCAAATACTATTTGAAATATTTATAATACTTTGAGTATTTGCTCTAGCCTGCCTGCCTGGAATTTCAGATGGGCAGGGATTAGAGTTGTGGGACTATTCTATTGGTCCATTAAGACAGGCAAGCTCAATTAATCACACAAAGTATTTGAAATGATTTCAAATAGTATTTGAACCCAGCTCTGCCTTACACTGAGGCTTAGAGTGATCACAGGACAGGATAGGGTGCTTAGTATGGAAAGCACACTACTTATCACAGGACAGGATAGGGTGCTTAGTATGGAGAGCACACTGCTAAGAAGGGATTCAGCCTCAACCCCTAAAGCACTTTTCATTTCCCTCAGTGCTTCTCTGTTTGTTGTTCCACTCACCATGACAACTAGGAATAAGTTGAGACAGAAAGGCTACTTACTGCTTGATGCTGCTTTACCGTCTGTTGCCAGAGGAGTTTAGATGAAGAGGATCTTGATATTGATAGGTCAAGCTGCAGTATTATGGTCTAGGGGGATGGATTAATCCAATAGTGTTCTTGTTTTGTTTTGTTTTACAAACAGGGGGTGCAAGGACCAAGGGGCCCTCCTGGTCCTCCTGGTCCACCCGGACCCCCAGTAAGCCCTTTCTGTTATTTATGTACAGACTTCGCAAGAGTGGCATCACTCCTTTTTAAGTAAACATTTGTATATACTGTACTATGACTGGACCATGCATTAACCCCCCCCCCCCTTCTATTTCCTTTGTTTAATAGGGTCTTCCTGGTTCTATGCCATTCGTAAGTCTCCTCTATTTACAACTTGACTTTCTCATCTCATCAAGCGATGGAGAGAAGGAGTGAATGCGGGAGAATGTTTCAGAGTTCATACATGTCTTTTTGTCTTCTCTTGTAGAGAAGGGAGGCTATTGGTGCTGCTTTTCAGCTCATTATTGATTCCCATGCTGCACTGAGGTCAGAGGTGAGTCACTGTGAGATGCATCATTGGTCCCTTGGAAAATAAGCAATGTACCCAGTACAATACAGAGAATAATTGTATGGTTGTACTGTTTGTATGACCAACTCTTACAAAAAGTATCCATTAGCATTCATGTAGGGTTACCCTCATGCTCCTCAAGCCAGGATTTTGCCATTTATCACTCTCCAACAGTGGCTGGCTGTTTGTGGTGATTTGGTGCTGTGTGTGACCCTTTGTCTCTATCATTTCTAGAGTCACCATGACATGGACCTGCCCATGTTGGACCACCAGGGTACAGAGATATTCAAGACCCTCCACTACCTCAGCACCTTGATCCAGAGCCTGAAGAACCCATTAGGAACCCATGACAACCCCGCGCGCATCTGCAGAGACCTCAAGGACTGTGAACAGAGGATGAACGACGGTGAGGGAGGAACAAACGTCGTCTGAGATACAGGACACACTGTAGCCTGAGACTCATGTTTTGGGTTCATTCCTTCAGTTACAGTATACTTGGTCCAAGAGTTTTTCTAGACCATGTGGACCTGACTAGGAAAAACTCTGTGCCTTAGTTATAAGTTAAGGCTATAACTAAGCTAAATTATAATCTATAATGATAAATAGCAAGTCTATACACCTGACCAGTGATATCCCTTCCAAAAGCATTACATACTTGCCATATAGCCCAATATGTGTCCACTCTGCTAAAAGTACACTACTCCTGTATCCTTTTTCACTCAAGTTTGTTCTCCTTTCCTAAGGCACTTACTGGATCGACCCAAACCTCGGCTGCTCTGCCGACTCCATCGAGGTGACGTGTAACTTCACCAGCGGCGGCCAGACCTGTCTGAAACCCATCACAGTATCCAAGGTCAGCATCAACTTCCATTACTACTCAGCCGTTTACAGTCAAAACAAGCCACTATCCAGTCAAAACAACTGATAATAGGAAGCCAATGTTTTAGTCAGGTTTTCAGAGAAACATGTTCAGGAACTGTAAAAGGTGTTGTGTATTTGAGGTTTTAAAAGGCTTCTAAAGTTTGTAATTTCCACTTTGCAATTTCAAACTTGATTTTCCCTTACGAAATATGCCTATTAATTATAATCCACATAATTCACATTTCCTGTTTTTGCAGGATTATTTTCCTACTGTAGCAAACTGGCTCAAATGAAGATCCTACATATGTTTCCACACAAAACCGTCGTACTGTACTAAAGAACAGCATTCTTACTCTTTAGCTCATTTGAATTTCCTGTCTTCCGTTTCTTTTGACACATCCTATATTTTTACTTCAGACAGGTTTTGTATCTGGCACCCAGAACCAAATCTTGAATGTCCACTGGTCTTGTCTGTCACAATAGATTAGGGATTAAATTGTAACGGTAGTTGATGTGTGTCTGTCTGCAGCTGGAGATAGGGGTGGGTCGTATCCAGATGAACTTCCTCCACCTCCTGAGCTCTGAGGCGGTGCAGCACGTTACCATCCACTGCCTGAACGTCCCTGTGTGGGCCAACAGCTCCTCCCTGGAGCCCTCCCCCACCGCCGTGCACTTCAAGGCCTGGAGCGGAGGAGACATGATCCAGGCTGGAGGACTAAAGCCCTACATAGTGAAGGACGACTGCTGGGTATGTCAACCTCCAGCCTCATGTGACATGCTGTTCTCCTACTGAACATACAGCTGGTGAAGGAGATTAGTGAATGAAATATTGGATGACACTTTACATTATGTTACATAGGCTACCATGTATTTAAGGCTATCATGTAATTATAGTAAACTGTACACCAACTGAAGATAATGTATTGCACAGTCTGACCAAATGTTGTTATCACAGGTTCTAAAAGTCAAATCCCCTTGTCTTTCAGATTCAAGATGGCCGCTGGCACCAGACCCATTTCGTCTTCCAGACCCAGGACCCCAACTTACTCCCCATCCTGGATGTGTATAACCTACCGGCCACAGAGCCTGGCTCACACTACCACCTAGAGGTGGGCCCTGTGTGCTTCTTATAGAGGCCTGTTGTTATAGAGGCCTGTTCTTATAGAGGCCCAGGATACAGTACATACACAGCCTCCTCATAGGAGTGACTTGCGGGGGGATGGGGAAGGTTAGGGGGTCTCCCTGTCTCCATATATTGGGGCCCTTCAGGAGAGGCAGGCCCTTAACCCTCCAGCATATGCTCGGACTGCAGAAACAGGCAGGGGGTGCCATTGAGGGACGGACCAGGAGAAACTGCAGAGATACTGGGACGTCTCGCACTATAGTTCCTACCGTCTGCCTGAGGAGAAGATATTAAGCTTTGGCTTCTTTCAGGGACTTGTTTTACTGTCGCACAGCACGAGCCCTAGATGCCCGAGTGAGATAAACATAATATGACAGTCTCTGACATCACTCTTGGAAAACATTTTTAACTTATTACTTTCTATGGTCACAAACTCTCAACATGTTATGAAATGTGTAAAGTAATAGGGAACAATTATAAATGCATTTGCATATTATGAATGCATTACTTATCTTTTTAAATGTTATACATACACATGTATTATTTATACATGTTATATGTATATCTTAACATAAAAGTGCAATAAACATATCTCGTCCTGCAGTTTTTCAAAGCAATTAAGGTTTACAGTGAGACCAAACCATTGGATATAATTTTATAACATTCAGGTGTAGGCCTAGTTTCCAGCATACATCCACAAGGTGTCCATCTATTTTCTCCTGCCTAGTCTGTAGATGACAGATTAATCTACTTGTAGTGGTGATTAGGTGCTGAAGAAATGCCCACCGGTCTACGAATAACTATTGCGCTCACACACAAACATTCCTGATGTGTGTTTCCATAGTCAAATTAATTGAAGTTGCGGTAAGAGAGTGAATCCAGAAGAGTGTCAGAAGAGTCGGTCTACCTCCCATCTCTCAACTAGCTGTGGTTCAACTAAAAGAGAACCAGAGATGACACCTGATACCTGGTGCTATAATAATTCCTGTGGTCGGTTATGAGGCTGTCTTGTTTAATCCTGGCAGAACATAATCAACCTTTTGTACAGCAAAGGGAATATTTTTTTATACAGTATGAATGCAAAGAAGAAGGAAAAATGATCTAATTCTCTTTTCAAGCTAGCAAAACAGCATTTCTTTCCCTGCATCGTTATGTTATTGTACTCCCCTTTGTATGAGTCTGAAGCTATTATTGAAAGATTTAGGTATTATTTTTGACTTGTTGAAATGTATAAATGTGTATAATTATGCAAAGCTTTGTTGTATACAGTGGATCCCAACATGCTAATTTATGTTATTTAATGTCCATGGTTTTTGCAACTTTCTGTAAACTTTAAGCCAGACACCCATCATCAGTAGAGCATTTTCCATTTTGTATAAATTTGGGGCTTCATCAATTTTGTTTTATAGGTTGTTTTTTTAAATAATCATAACTGTACTGTAACCATTTTTCAATGCTTTTACGCCTTACTGTTTTACTTTATTGTTGACCATGTTCGTGAAATCTCTGTACAGGCAGTCAGCTCAACCAACCAATCCATAAGCTCAGAATACCTCTCATATCACACAGCTTAAACAGCCCTCCATCATGTTCTTACATTATTATAACCATAACACATCCAAAAGAGTCATCTGACATCTTTGTTTAGGACCAGGAACAGATATTAGTTGTCATCATGTACTTCATTCATTCATTCATTCATCTCTGTAGGTCCTTCCTCAGCATCATAATAAAACAGCTTCTAGTTTTCAACACTTTCATTTTCTTCAACATTCAGGTGTTCAATAAATATTTGAAACCCAAGTAGATCTGTGTGTTTCAATTGGTTCTTATTCTCTTATTAAAAAGGTCATTATCGATTTCATTGTCAGCTAAAGACACTGAGTGGAGTTTAGTTCTCAATAAAAGTTAAATATTTAATGCATTATTAATAGTTATCAGTGTGTAAACCCAGAGGTTTTTAATTGTAAAACAGCTCATGTGTTATTGCAACTTAAATACTGCAATATGAATAGTTATCCCTTTTGAAAAATGTATCTTGAAAGACTAGTGATCGGCCCTTCTCCATACACTTCACCTCCTCGCCACATGAGGGCACTCTTGTCTAATTTTAAACAAAACTTAATCTAGTTTAACATTTAGCTAAGGGTCTTATTCATCACATCATCCGTTGTTTTTTTGTTTTTTTTACTAGAATAGAGCTCTACACTTAATCAAGCTATCTGTCCATAGATACAAAAATGACACAAAGCAGATATTTCAGGGTTTTGTATTGACAGGCCACTGATGACGAGGTCACACGATATTATCTTGGACACATGGCATGGCGCCCCTTGTCCACGGGTAGGTTGACCCCGTGATGAATGTGGCAGCATCCAACCCCAGGAAGGCTATAGCATGAGCCACTTCACCTGGTCTGCTTACGCTTCTCCAGGAACTGGGAGGAGAAAGAGCGTGAACGTGAGAGAGAGAGAGTGAGAGAAATAGGAAGTACACTGTGCAAGGTAGACTAAGTAGAGTGGGGGTCTGTGATGTGAGCCGTGTTTTCTCCAAATATATGATCTCTACAGTATTCCCAACCTTTGGAACCCCAGCCAGTGGACCTGACCTTGTAAACCATGATGTGTGACATCTGTATAACATAAGAGAGTTACCTGAGAATACTGCTCCTCATCCAGTCCTGCTCTCCTGTGGACCTATGTTATGATCACGCCGGGACTGGAGGAGGAAAGACAGAGAGAGATCAACACTGTAGTAACAACTACATAATAAGCAGGGTTAGGCGGTAACGGATTACATGTAATCAGTTACGTTACCAGCAAACATATTGTAATCAGATTACAGATACTTTTGAAAAACTAGAAAAAAGACATTATGACACTTATGTTTTCTCAATGAAATTCAATTCAGCACTGAAAAAAAAGAGCATGTTTAAGTTGGTCCCTTGTAGTTCAGTTGGTAGAGAATGGCGCTTATAACGCTAGGGTAGTGGGTTCGATTCCCGCGAACACCCATACGTAAAATGTATGCACGCTTGACTGTAAATCGATGCATATATTATACGTTTGTTCCACCTGAGCGAGTCTGACCACAAGTTAGAGACCACTGTGACATACCAATAACGTTTGACGGATCATTTTTGTCTTCTTCTAATGACTCTGCAGGGGAAAATAATCCAAAAGTAACCAGATTATGTTACTGAGTTTGGGTAATCAAAAAGTTACTTTACTGATTACAATTTGGGACAGGTAACTAGTAACAGATTACATTTAGAAAGTAACCTAAATTAGTACCTAAACAGACTTGACTTGCCGGACAGAGTTGATTCGTACTTGCTTTGATGCCAGCTCTGAGCGGGAGGTATATGAGTCATGAGTGCCTGTGCTTTCAATACAGTCCGAAATAATTAGCAAGAAGTAGTCAAAAGAAAAAACTTGTCCTGACCAAGTGCTATGCAACGTGTGAATTGGTCAATGGCAGATTTAGCTATACAATAGGCAAGGACACCTGGGAACTAAAAAAAAGAAGATAATTGAGCTCAACAGAAACCATAATTTAATAGAGCATTTTTTAAACATTTTTAGTCATTTAGCAGACGCTCTTATCCAGAGCGACTTACAGTTAGTGAATACATATATATATATATTTTTTTTTACTGGCCCCCCGTGGGAAACGAACCCACACCCCTGGCGTTGCAAACGCCATGCTCTATCAACTGAGCTACATCCCTGCCGGCCATTCCCTCCCCTACCCTGGACGACGCTGGGCCAATTGTGCGCCGCCCATGAGTCTCCCGGTCGCGGCCGGCTGCGACAGAGCCTGGATTCGAACCAGGATCTCTAGTGGCACAGTTAGCACTGCGATGCAGTGCCTTAGACCACTGCGCCACTCAGGAGAGCATAATAAAGAAACACACGTTTTACTATCCTTGTTTCTACCTAAAACTGATTTCCATTAAAAATCCTATTTTCCCTAACCCGTAAGCCTAAAATAGCCTTTCTCCTCATGGGAACCTGAGAAATGTCCCCACGAGGGAGAATTTTCCTCGTTTTACTATCCTTGTGGGGACTTCCGGTAACTAATAGTATTACACACACCCCTCACTGTCTATTGCTCTTATCTCAATTAACAGATATTCTTCTGTAAATGAGTTGTGTGGTGTACACTCCACACACGCTGGTGTGGTGATACCTACTGATCGTTGGCCGTTGACGCTGGAGACAGCGACGATAGAACCCTTGGACTTGATGAGGTGAGGTACACAGAGCTGAGTCAGGTGGGATACTGATCTGTGAAATAAAGAAACAAACCTTCACTAAGAAAGAAAAATAATTCGCCTACTAGTCATCTCTCGTGGACAGATCTACGTAAACATAACTGGTACCAGCTAACCAATTACGTGATACTTTAGTTCTGGTTAACCGAGGTTAGCCTAGTGTCCAAATAAGCATGTACTGCAATGACGAAGTACTGCAGATTTAAGGCTTCATCCAAGCAGCGAAATATAAACACCAGCTCCTTTGCGGTACAGTATATAGTGCATTCAGAAAGTATTCAGACCCCTTGACTTTTTCCACATTTTGTTACATTAAAATATTGCCTCTTGTTTGGAATCAAAGGCTATGGGAGATGGGGTGGGACAGAAGGTTGATAATGTTGGTGGTACCAAGGCTGGGGCCAGCTCTAGTCTAAATGTTGTGGTGAAAAATGATGTCAGGGAACTAGTCTGTTTCAGGGGGGATGGTTCAGAGGAATGCACAATGCATGATGGGAGGAGACCATGTTAGTGTACATGCAGAAGAAGGGCTATGGTGGGCAGGAGAGGTCAGATGAAGTTTTGGGTAAGCTGTCAGGGCGGGCACGTGACGTGGTAAGAGTAAGCCTACGCAGTAACCCAGTTGACTTAAGCCAGGGCCCTAGACCAGTTTTTGACATTCTGAAGCACCACTTTAGCGACACAATCAACTCCGACATGCCCCTAGCTGATGTTTATTCTACGTTGCCAATGGA